ATGCTTCCTGCAAATGCAATAAACCCACAAGCCAAATAGCCTTGCATATCCTTGAAGTTTTTTCTTTTCTCCTGTCGGGTAAGTCTTGCCGAGTACAATTTGAGTACTCAGGGTTTTATTCCCCCTGTTGCAGGTGATAGGTGGATGCCAAAGCTGACTCTTGTGTGTGGATTTCTCCTGGTGGGCTCAGCGAGAATTCCTTTACGCTGCGATCATAGTTGTTATTTATAACTCTCACCAAATTCTTTTATAAATAAAAGTTTCATAATCTATTGTCGTAATTTATATATCAATACTTCCTCATGTCATTAATAGATTTTTATTTCCGCTGTAACTCTGTTCACATGTTTATATTCCGCTGTTCAATTAAATTGTTATGACTTTGATAATATGATTACATTCCACTATTATAATAATAAATATTATACTTTGATGTTGTATTAAAAGTGAAGTAAGAATTGGTTAAATGATGTAAGCTTTATTCTCTCATTTGTGATCTTGATGGCAAAAATATGGATTTTCGGGTTCTTCCCTGGGGTGTGCCCGACGGAACCGAGTAATTTAGTGTTCTCCCTCGTGTGCTTAGTGTCTAGTGTAAGACAAGCACTCCTGTGAGGTATTAGATTAGGCGGTTCTGCCATAGGTCAGCAGCGCGACGGGGCCGGCGGTAGTACCTCTTGGCTACGCAAGCAGCAGCAGCGACTCCGCGAGCTAGAGGCCAGGGGCGGCCATGCCATAACCAGGCCAGAGCAGCCGCGGCTAGCCACACGCGGCAGCACGCGCGCAACCAGCGCGTGACGCCGTACGGCCGGGTGTGGTGATCGCACTCACCCGCGTGGACTAGGCCAAGAACGTGTCGTGCACGAATTTTAAAGCATCTATAAAAAATTAATCGGTTGCTCTAGGAATCAAACCACCTTCATCATGCTTAAGAGGGCTTATCAGGCTACGAACTCGAGCTATCAATATACTTGAAAACATTCTAAATTTTTTTTGAGCTAAACTTGATTCTAAATTGCATTTCTAAGCTATTAGAAATGTTGGCTAGTACGGTTATTTTTCTACAATAAGGATTTTATTGCCATCTACAAAGTTCATATTCCAAACTTTATTTAAATACCACATTTATGTTCTATAATATTTTTATTCAATAAAATTGGTTTTAAGCCCTACTTAATATACATTGGTTGTGGAATAGCCTCTCATTTAACATTTTTATTGATCATCTTAGGTTCCAAAAATTTTATCCACACATTCCATCATATGCATTATCACATAAACATGATGCTCATGATATGATTTAGTAGTTTTGTTTATGGCGTAACAGCGAGGGTGTTACAGACGGATGGGGCATCCGCGCGACAGGGCGGCAGCGGCCGAGGGGGCGTAGGGCCAGCTGCTGGCCATGCAGGCGGCCTGCGGCTAGCAACGGGCGCTGTGGCTAGAGACTGCCAGGCCACGACCAAGCCGAGGGCTGCCCTGGCCCACCAGCGCTCAGCCACGCGCGCGCGTGGCTCGGCCGAGCGTGGCCACAGCGAGCACCGGAATGCGGTGACCGCGCACTCCAGGCCGAGCAACCAGAAATGTGTTGCGCACGAATTTTAAAAGCGTCCACAGAAACTAAACTACTAGAGTTGAAACTAAATCGCCTTCACTATGCTAAAGAGAGCCCATTAGGCTACCGACCAGAGCTAAAATATGACATCACCTCTTAACTCAATTTCACAGGATTAATTTCCAAACATGGTGCTGTCAAACTATCTTTAGACGAGGAATTTTCTAAGTCTTGAGCTGGATTCAATTTCAAGTTCCGTTTCTAAGCTATTAGAAATACTAGTTAGCAATGTTATTTTTCTACAGCAAGAGTTGCATTGTCATCTACAAAGTTTGTACTTCAAACCTTATTTAGGTGTCACACACATGTTCTATAATACTTTTGCTTAATAAAAATTAGTTTTCAACCCTACTTGAAATACATGAGCTATTGAATCAACTTTCATTTAACATTTTTATTAGTCATTTTAGGTCACAAGAAATTGATCTACACACTTATCACATGCTTTATCACATAAACATGATGCTCATAACACGATTTAGTGATTTTGTTTAGGGTGTTACAACAACCCAGTAGATCGAGTGGAAAGCAAATACAGCAATTCAAAATAAGAGGTGATCTCAAGTTGCAACAACAAGAGGCAAGACACAAGATTTACCTTGAGGTTCAGCGGAGCCACCAAGGCTTGCTTATGTTCTATTGTTGAAGGAGCCACAAAGGCTTAGAGTCTCTCCCAAGGCTTGCTCTCAAATGCTCCTACTTTAATCACACACTAATCATTCACTCTCACAAAAAGAGGGGTTGGTGAGAGATTCACAAGGCTTTGGTATGTGTTGAGAATGACCAGGGCACCACCACCACCACTAGGGCGTGCACCCCACGAGAACTAGCCGTTAGAGCTCAAAACTAGCCGCTATGGCCGTCCAGAATGCAGAACTTTTGCGTTTGAACACGAAACTTCCGCATCGTAAGCACAACAGACCTCGCGAAAAATGCCATAACTTTTTACTTCGAATTCCATTTTCGATGATCTTGAACTTTTTAGAAAGCTTATTCTAAATGCTATCCAACCCAACCAAGAACAAGCCCCAAGATTAATAGGGGCAAGAGTTGTGCAGTTGTTTCTCTCGCGTTAGCACTCGGGGTTCGGTTAGTTTGAGCACTTGAGACTAACTAATTATTTTGCATCACACTTGATTGTACGACAAACATATACTCAAAGATCAAACAATATATCTATTTTAACCACTTGAGTCTTCGATATCCTCGTATGCCATATCTTCTCAATATATCTTTAAGGGTTGCAACAATCTTTGTCTCAATCGTTTAAGCAAATCAATCTTAAGCTTGTGACTTGAACCATTTCAACACATGAGAGTCCATTTATGACTTCAAGTCACTTCCACTTATGATACAATAATGATTTAATTTTCCACATAATGACTCCTCATATCTCGATTAGTATCCAGACTCAATGCAAGTACTCTCTTCTTTACCCTAGCCATGGTACCGTGGTCGTCAAGCTGTTGCTTGCCCTCCACCTTCGCTTAGTATCTCAAAGCCCTTTTCTTGTTATCTTCACCCTATCGAGCTATCCTTAAGTCACATCATATCTTAAACCAATATTAAGAATCAGTTGAAAAATCTCTCTTTTGATCACATATCTAGATCAACGTTAATATAGTCATGCCAATTCACGGTCGGTAGCCACGTCACTGAGTTTTCTTCAATGCTGAAATAGATGGAGCATCGATAGTAACGCTGTGGCTACCGATGCTGAGGCTGTATTTAGTTCGCGAAATGAAATTTTTTGGATATCATATCGGATGTTTCGGATGTTTCGGGGATGTCGGAAGGGGTTTTCGGATACTAATAAAAAACTAATTACATAGCTCGCCTGGAAACTGCAAGACGAATTTATTAAGCCTAATTAATCCATTATTAATGCATGCTAGTTACTGTAGCACCTATGGCTAATCATGGACTAATTAGTCTTAAAACATTCGTCTCGTGATTTCCTACTAAACTGTGTAATTAGTTTTTTTTATTTATATTTAATACTTTATGCATATAACGTAAGATTCGATGTAATAGTGTGAAGTAAATTTTTTTGAGAACTAGGCCTGACTTCAAATTCACATTACCCGATGCTGTTCGTTCTTCGATGCTTGGAACAATAAAATATTGTATTCCAGCCGGTCGTTCTTTCCTCGACGCTTGAAAGTTGAAACAGACAGACGCATGTTCTGATGGTTGGGTCCACGTACAAGAAAGTATCAGGCCTTGTTTAGATGCCCTCAAAATTCTAAGTTTTTTCGCTCTCTTTCTATCACATCAATTTTTAGTCGTTTGCATAGAGTATTAAATATAAGTAAAAAAAATAACTAATTGCACAGTTTAGTTGAAAATCACAAGATGAATCTTTTGAGCTTAGTTGATCCACGATTGGACAATATTTATCAAATAAGATGAAAATACTACTATTTATCGGGTTGAAATTTTTTTCAATCTAAACAAGGCCTCAATGTTGATACTGAGCCCTTGTTAGTTTCACCCTAAAATTTTAAAAAGTACTATAGTATATGTCACATCGAATGTTTATGGTCTATGCATGAAACATTAAATGTAGAAAAAAAAACTAATTGCACAGTTTGATGAGAAATTACGAGACGAACGTTTTGAGCTTAATTAATCCATATTTGAACACTAATTACCAAATAAAAACGAACGTGTTACAGTAACCCCAAACTTCAAATTCCTGAAACTAAACACACGTCGAGTGTAGAGGAGTTCAAGCATCGGTACCAGGTGGCAGGCAATTTTTTTTTCATAACCGCTAATGCTGTAGACAATCTTAGAACACTTAGTTTTTTTTTTGTAAGGGGTGGTTTAGTTGGCAATTTTTTTTTGCAAAATAATACTGTTGCATTTTTGTTGTTATTTGGTAATTAGTGTCGATTATAGTCTAATTAGGCTTAAAAGATTCGTCTCATAAATTTCGTTTAAACTGTGTAATTAGTTTTATTTTTTATTTATATTTAATGCTTCATGCATACGTCCAAAAATTCGATGTAACAGAAAATCTTGAAAAATTTTACAAAATTTTAGAAACTAAACAAGCTCTAAATTAAATTGATTCCAGAACAGTTCAATCCTGAGTTCCACGTGGCTATCAAAACTGAATGCTAGGTGGGGCACAGGGCCACAGCTCACAGTCACAGGGGTACTCCCGTCAACTCCTGCTGTTCACGAGCTGAAGCGAAAATTCAGCCCCAACCAGGCCGGCGACGGACGCCTCCTTGTTCTCCACGCCGCCGCCGCCGCGTGGGCTAGGCTGACTTGTCCAATCTCGACCTATCGAGGCTCCTGCTGCCCCCGACCACGGAAGGAGCCTCCTGCAGTGTGGCTCCGGTCGACCACGAAGCCTCGATCTGCTCGTCCCTGCATGATGAGACTACTCGTCATCCTGTTCGCCGCGGCGGCCCTCGCGGTCGCCACCACCGCACACGAGCACCATGGCGAGGCGCCCACCTGCGCCGGAGGCAGCGGGCACGTGCTCGCGGAGTTCCGCCCCGGGGAGGTGACCGTGGACGGGCACAGCGACGACTGGGACAGCGTCGAGGCCTCGGAGTTCGCGCTTCTGCCGGCGCTCGATCCAGACGAAGATAAGGCCTACTCCGGCGGCAAGGTCGCCGTAAAGGTTCGCCTCTTCCAGGCTCTCTTCTTCTTCTTCTTCTTCTCTTTCTCTTCCTCTCCCCCATAGCGAAACATGTGGATCACGAGAAGTTAGGCTGATCGCAATTAGATTCAGAACTGACTGTGTTGTCGAAATGGGGCCCGATAAGCCGAATCATGGACTTTTAGCATTTTGCTGTTTGGAGAAGCAAAATATTAGATTTATCTGGGATAGCTAGCTAGATGATCGAGTTCAGTTTTCTACTAATACTTTGAAACCTTGATGTCTCCGAAGTGGTGCTTTATTAATTTCGGAAGTTGGCTGTGCAGGCTGTGCATGATGGTGTCAACGTCTTCTTCTTGCTTCAGGTTGATGGGGCTTACGCTTACACTAAAGGGTACTTTCGCCTTCTTTCTGTGTTACTACATCTGCACCAGTGCGGATAGAACGATAGTGGAGGTTGTAGTGCTCTTTATGGCCACTCTTTTAGTTCAGAGACGTTGGACAACCAATCAGCTACTCCTATATTGTTATGCACAAATCCATCACGATCTGTTGTCCTTTAACTTTGACGTTGTTAGTTGATGGGAGGCCTATAGATTTATACATGGTTCTCGATTGTTCTGTTAAATAGTACTAGTTTCATAACAGCTTTTCTTATCGTGTTGGTCTTCTTTAAGGCCTGATGGTGTTTTAACTGGTTACCTTGGCATGACAACCCCCCATCCATTGCCTTGGTCTTCCAGTTAAATAGTACTAGATTTAACTGGATTGAGTATACCTTTAAGGCATGTTGATGGTTTGATTTGATTGATTGTGCCTTATGCAAACGATTTCATTCTCAAAATGGAATTAGCCTTCCACCATTAATTTAAACATATAGCTCTGTATCTAGTAACCTGTGCTTTTGGTTCACCTGTTCATCAACACAGGGAAAGTAACAAATGCCCTTCTGTTGCTCTGATGTTCCAAGTTGGAGAGAAAGCCACATTTTACAATGTAAGTTTGGGTTGCTTCCAGCTGTGAACCATTACAAGTGTAATTTCATGCATGCACTGAGCCTTTTTTTATCATTACGTATAATAGCTCCTTTTTGTATTTCTGGACAATGCCTTTTGTACTCTTTCTTATTGGTTATTGTATAATGTATGCCAAACATTATACTGTTTGGCCTTTTTAGATGGGAGGATGCAAAGATATGCCAGGTTCATGCACAAGTAAAAGTTGTAGAGGTCATGAGGTTGACATTATTCACTTCTCAATTGGAAATGCTATTCCTGGACGACTTTACGGTGGCAATCACATAGACAATGCAGCTGGGAATGGAAACGACAGGTAACTATGTTCTACTTTGCTGCATGATGGTCGTGTACTTATGTATTGTATGAATAGGAACTTATGGTTAGAGTATTTCTTTATTTAGATTTGGTCACCTTGTTGATGTCTATGCATGGAATCCACATTGCCGATACCTTGATGGAGTGGGCCCTAAAGGTAAACATGCTTATAAACGTCAGAAATCATCATGTATGGATTTTGTTTGGTTATTTTCCTACTGACCTTTTTTTATTGAACTTTGTTTGGGACAAAACTTGTTTCAGAGAACAATTCAAATGCTCAAAATGATTGGCATGGGGTTTGGTGGCACAGTTCACTGACCGTCCATTCAGGCATACCATCAGACTCATTTCTCTCTTATCTTTACTCCATACTTGGTTTAGTTATGAATTCTAAAGAACATAACATATGGAGATCATCTTCTGAAAGTTGACAACTTGAGTTTGCATGCTTTAATCTTCTTAATGCCCCTTTTCTCCAACTGCATATATATTTTTTAAAACAAGCAATGGACTTCCACTGCAACAATATGGAAACATAAGCTCTCGACAATGTAACTTGGCTAGTCATCAGTATACCTTAATGGAATGTTTACCAATGGCAAATACATGCAAGTTAAAATTTATTATCTAATGGTTATTTGAAATCTTCTTCCAGGCTTTGTTGATGATGATAATCCTTATGGAAAACAAGATGAGAAGGGCACATATTATTTTGAGTTTTCAAGACCCTTAAGAACAATGGATCAATTTCAGCAGGTACTTATCCACTAACACGTTACATTCAAGATACTGCAGTATGAGTGCCTGCGCAATCATGTTTCAGTTAGTTAATGGCAATTTAAACCATTAATCTGTATATAAACTGTGTTAAGGAACATGGACACATTTTTCTTAGTAGACAACACATTCTGGATGAATTCCTAGTTATCTGGTCTCTACTGCGATGCAACCATGCCATTATCAGTTGTTTGTGGAACTGTTAAGGTACACAACTGTAACAAAAACAGGCATCTTGTGCCCAGGGTGCTTTGACAAATCCACCTCATCTGTACTCATGATGGGCCAATGTGTATGTGTACCTATTTCAAAAATGTGAACTGACTGACATGATACCTTCTATATCAATTTAACCTGCTTGAAGTTTTATGTTTTACTGTATTTACCTTAACCAAATACAGTAATCAAATGCTCCTTTGGCGATGCAGGATGCACAGTTCACAATAGGACATCCCAGCAATATGTCCGTAGCCTTTTGGTACCCAACCGATGGCAAAACATGGAGCAACTCCGATCATTACTCAGCCAGCTGCAACTGGTTGGTTTTGGATATACAACCTTCATCCGAAGCTGCATATTATCGTCCAGCTCCTAATCGCTCTTGGGATGCTGCAACTGCCTTTGCTTTACTTCTTTCAGTGGTAGCCATTTGCATGTCCATCTTTGTGGGCTACCGGTTTTCTAGGAACAGGAGCACTGCCCAGTTTACACCACTTGAACAGATCCAGTTTGCTGAAGAACGCCATTGATTGGAATTGAGATTAGGCGAAGCAGCAAGCAACACTGTTTCATCTGTTTCACCATTTTGCCTCCAAAGTTGACAGATTGCTGCATTGCAGTTTTGAACCGGGTTGTTGTAATCTAGTATAGGACATATTGAAGCATACACAAAACAGAATTACAGACTGCCTATTTTTATTGTAGGAAACAATTTCTGTAAATGCTGTACATCAACTCTGGGTTATTGGCTTACTGCGCCACTTGATATCATTCTAGATTCTACCTGTGCACATGATTGTGGTGGTTGTTTCATTGGTTGTATAATATTTGAATATATCTAAATTTGGTTCAAATGCTGAAGTCAACTTTTCCCTAGAATAATGCTGATTTGTTGAAAGATCTTCCCCGTGCCCGTAGAATCACTCAAGGAGCGAAGAACAAAGCAGTTAATTCGAGCATACTTTTAGTAATTTAATTTATTAACAAACAAGCAACTAAATTGAGTTCAAATTAGGTCTAAAATTTTGAACGGGGGCACGCTTTGAATCCATTCAATTTCACGAAAAATCTGCAGAATGCTGTAGCATTTACCCGAGCCCAAAATATCCGAGTGAATGCGGCCCGTCACCCGTGAGAAGTTTGAGAGAACGCCCCACTACTTCAGGTCCCATCGCCACTCTGTGCGCCCACTTGCCTGGGCCCTGAATGCCTCCGCAAGTTCTAGGGTTTTAGGCTTCAAGCAGCGGCGGTCCAAGGTTTTTGCGCGACCTTCATCGGCGCACCACCAATGGCTTAGCACCTAGTACCTCACCCGTGCTCCCTCTGCTGCTGCGCCGCTCCATGGCTGACCCATTGGACGCGGCCGCCGCCGTCGCGGTATCCACCAACGACAACAATGCCGACGACGTCGAGGACCTTTACGCGGACCTCGACGAGCAGGTCGCCGCCGCGCTCGCCGCCGCAGGGGAGAGTGGCGGCTCAAACGCGAGGGATTCCGACCCGGTCACCGACGGCGAGGGGGAGGTCCCAGAGCCCGACGCGAACGAGGCGGTGGATTTGGGCGACGGGACTGAGGGCTACAGCAGCAGCGACGAGGAGAGCGATGATGGCCTCCGCATCGTGCTGAACGAGGACACCAGCGCGCCACTGCCGCCGCCCCCTGTGGGGCGCGGCGAGGGATGCGTGGATGAGGATGAGGAGGGGGGTGATACGGGCAACCGTGTGAAGGGTTCATCTGTTAACGATGGCGGCTGGGCAACGGTATGATTCTTGAATTGGCTGAATTATTGGTTTTATTAAGATTCTTATTGGTGCTGTAGTGCGAAATTGGAGTATTAATAGGTGCAGTTAATTCAGGGGAGGCTCTAGATACTCCGGTGCTGTGGCACATTGCATGTATTATGTGGGTTCCTGCCAATCATACGCAAACTTCTCGTGAGCTTCAAGTCGATTGGCTCTCTGTTCCAATTTCCTCTGTGCTGATACATGTAGCTCGAAGCTGCTGTGTTGCAGTTGTTTACTTAATGATATATGCATTCCTGAGCAAAACAATTTGGATGAATGTATTGCAATGTGGTTTCCATCTAACTATGCAAGCCGCAGCACTATTGGCTCACATATATTTTTGTTTAGACAATTCGAGCTCATATCTATATTTTTTTTGTTTGGACTGCGCTGTTCCAGGTTGGTGGGCTCCATTGCAAGGGACTTATTGAGAAAATGCTATTACCTAGCATGGGGCATATCGATCGAGGTCACCAGCATGTGTTTCAGCGTGATTATAACTTTACCTTGCCAAGAAACGGGTGAGCTTCCTTCTCGTATGAATGCAAAAACATGTAATTCATGTAGTTTTCATAGTGGTCTTCTCTGTTATTATAGGTGTCAAAAGAGAAAAAAATATTGTCCTTGACTACTAGCTGCATAAATTAGCTTGCTTATATATATGCCTTCATGTCATAACTCATGAGTATGGTGCAGCAGCTTTAGTGCTGACCCTAACACTGTGTTATATTACTTTAGCACAATTTTCGACATAGACATTGAAGCATTTCAACAGAAGCCTTGGAGACAGCAAGGGGTGGATCTTACTGACTACTTCAATTTTAGTCTGGATGAAGAAGGCTGGAGAAAATATTGGTGTAGCATGGTACTTTGGTCTTGCTATTTCGTATCAGCATTTGTGTAGCAGTTTCTAAGCTGTCAAATGATAATTGAGCTAAGTACAACACTTCTTTTTGTGCAGAAACAATTAAGGTTAGGGGCTAGATCACTTGTAAATGAAACATCAGGATTGGAGCAGGTAAGGCATAAACCTTGGATGATTTCCATATTTCTTGTTAAGCAAAATCTTATGATCTCTGCATTCAGGAATCATACAAACTGAAATCTGTCAAAGCAATGTCCAAGGTAGCAAATGATTCTGGATCTGAAGGAAGAAATGGCCTTGGCAAGGTAATATGAAGTCTTGAATTAGCATATGTTCACGTGTAATCTATCAGAGCTAACTTGGTTTTGTAAATCTAGCCAAAAGGTAGAGCAATCCATGTTGAAGGCAGTGCGAGCGAACGTGTTCCTTCAGCAGACTTGTGGCGTCCAATACAAAGGGATTCAGATGTTGTGATTCAAGTATGTTTCATCAATGTCTTTTTTGTATGGTTGAGCAATATCTTCTGGCTGTATTCTAACAAGTTAATATGGTTGAGCAGGTAAACATGACTCTTTCGCCATCAAATCAGCCCACTTCGGATGACAGCTCAAAGTTAAATCACAATGGTGTGGCTACTGAAAGGTATGCATAGTTAAAGCTACATATTGGGGCCACTTTTTAGGATGGTTACCTGTGTGTTTCTCTAGTTGATTCCTGAGCTGATTGTCTTGTTAATTGCACTGCATGCTGACGTCTATTGATCATCCTGGTGAAAGACATTTGATCTTGCTTTTTGGTGGACAGGGTGGCTGATAAGGAAGTTCATGATGGAGGTTCCTCAGAGGGTGTTGGGAGCAAACTTGATAGAAGAGATTCTTATTTTGCAAGGGATCAATCTCGTAGTCCTGATTATTCTGATACGCTTTCTGGAGAATCAAAAGAAAATCTCTATTTTAAGAGATCCAATAGACATTCAGATTTCAGGGACTTCTTTGAAGACACCAAACTTCAGGATGAGCATGTCAAATCTGATTTTAATTGCTATTCAAGTAAGTCAGACAGAGAAAATAGTGAAAGTTGTAGTCATGGTTATACCCCTTCCGTCGATGATAGAAAGGTGGCATCTAAACTTTTGTGGAGGGGTGAAGCTCCTTTCGCTGGGCAAGGCAAGTCCGGTGATCTTTTTGTTGGTTACAATAGTGATCGAGACCTTAAATCTCAACATAAAACAAGAAAAGGACAGAGGAGACAGAGTTTAGATGACGGAAGGAATGCTGTATTTGTTGAAAAAGAAAAACTAACAGATAGCTATCCTAGTAGGTACGGTAGGGAGTATGAGAAGAGAAGATCTAGCTCATCTTCCCTGAGGACCAACTATCACAATTCAGTTTGCAATCAATCTTATGAGCAACGGTATTCACCTCTTGAAAGAATAGCGCTGAAAAACAACGACCGTTACTTTAGCGATGAGTCTAATTACCACCATAGGCAATCTTTGTCATGTGACATCAGTGGAGAAGATGATGAGCGCTTCTCTTCAGCCAATGAGTGGCAGCGAGATCATGATCATATATACCATTCACTGGTAAATACTGATATGCCTGATGCTGATGATGGACGAATGTACAGAGAAAGGTATAGTCAGGAAAAGAGAAGAGCCATCCATGACCGCAGCGTGGATGCTGAATTTTCCTGTTACACTGACTACAGATTTTGCGAAAGGCAGAATCCTGAGGTAAGAGGCAGATACAGAGACAAAGGAAGATTTGCCAAAAGCAATGATGGGCATTTCAGACATGCTAACCATCTTGAGTTGTATCCTGGCCTCAATAATTCTGAGGGGGACAGGCCTGCTACTGGCTTCCCTTCTATGAGCTCAAGAAACAGATGCATCAATAACAAAAAAGTCCGCAATGCTAAGATGGCACAAAATAATTGTCATGGGTATCATCAAAAGAACAAGCAGCATGATTCATCATTTTGTATTGGCAACATTCCTCGATCTGCTTTGCAAACTGATACTTATGCTGAAACAGGCCATTTTGTTCTGCCAATTAAGAGGAAGCTTCATTCTGATCTGGGTCCCGTGGACCAAAAAACTCTTGCTGATTTGCCACTTCTGAAAGGAAGAAGATTGATGCATGGCCAATCCATTGTCAGTGATAGGATGATTTATGCTTTGATGCTGCATAAGTCGACAGAGAAAATTAATACAGAAGCCATTTGTAGTTCCAGTGATATGAGAAATAGTAATACTTCAAACATTTTTATTGGGAGAAGACATGAGCTGGATAATGCTGATAACATCCACTTGAATGATAGAAAAATAAAGGTAAACTTTGAGGAGAAAAAATTCAACAAAATTGTACATACCGACCTTTTATCAATCTGTGGTTTTACATCTTTTGCATTCTTATATCTGACATAATGTGTTCTGTTGGCGCACACATGCACATGGAAAAAATATCAAGCCACTCTTTTAGGCATTCTATATTCAACTAAACTGCACAGATCAGAAAACTTTGTGAGCATTAGTGTAGTGACTAACTGGGAATTGCTAACCATGACACCGGTTTGCTTAAATATAAGCATTTTATCACTAAAGCGTTTCCTCCTAAAACATTTGCCACTTATAGTTTAAGCTGTTCAATTTGTTGGGATGCAACATGGTTTAGTTGCATTTCACATCCATCTCCAAATGCTGGCAAATAATAGTTAATCTTTTCTGTCAAAGACCTGAGTTATCCTCCAGGGGTATCTAGACTTATATTCTTTGCCTTCGTCAAAAAACGAACTGTTTTATGATATTTCTGACGTTATTGATATGAAATAACCTTCAGATAGGAGCTGCATGATTCCTGATATGAAGCATATCGAAGAATTGTTTATGCACCAGAGCTACAGACCTACAAACCAAGTTCTTTTACTGCTATCATTATTGCCAGTACTATATTGGAAAATATTTGGGGGACTTATGAAAAAAACATAAAAAACATACTTTAAAGTTTTTTTTAATTGGAACTTTGTACATCCATAGTGCATCCAAGGACGGGACATGCTTCAAAAGCTGAGATGCAAAATCGTTTCTGAAAAATCCATATGAATGGATGTGCCAAGTTTCGTTTTCTTCAACTTTTATGTATGCTTTTTAGGGGGGTTTCAGATTCCACCAAGAATATAGTTCCCACCAAATATTTTCCTGTATTATATTGCTATTTTTCAATTAAAGCTATCTTGCTTGGTTTATGCGGTTCTTGTTGGATTTTGTCGCTAGTCTATCCTGATCTTGGGAATTTGGATTAAAGGCTCTGTTGGTGTGAATAATCTTCTTTGACCTACATGAAGTTCAACGTTTTTGTCTATCTTTACTATGTAGGTTGTCTTATATGAGTTACATACTACTCCCTCCGTTCCAAATTTTGAGATACATTGCTTTTAATATGTATATAGACATAGTGTATATCTAGGTTCATAGCAAAAGCTACGTATCTAGAAAAAGCCAAAATGTCTTATAATTTGGAATGGAGGGAGTAATTGCTAGGTTGTCAATTAGTTAGTAGCAATCTTCTAAAATATAGTAAGCAGTCTGCTAACTCATTGCTTAGTGCTTAAGCAGTATGCTGGTGCTTAAGTGCCCTTATAGATGACTTCCTTATTTAGATTAAGAGTAATTCAGATACTACTAAACTTAAATACTGAATATTTACCTAGAGGGGTCAGCAATGACCATGAAATATTTATTCTTTCTGGAATTGCACCTTTCTTAAGCTAAAACAAGTCTCACACGAGATACAAACTAATGCACCCATCCATGGCTCCATTTGTGGTTCCTTTTTTTAGAAGCATTTGTTTATTTTGTAGTAAAATCTTATCTCATTAGGCAGATGTAATATGTGTTAACCTTTTTTGTCAATTGCAAACGAAGGGATATAAACTGAAATGGCACATTAGAACCTGCAGCTAGCAAGCACTCTGCACTAGGAACGTTACATTTTTTTTTCAGTGCCTAAACCAGGCTCAGAGGCCAGAACAAGTCCTCTCTTATTTTAGCTGTTTAGAATTTAGATGACTGCATATGTGTCTATCCAGGTGGTTACCGCTGTTTATGCAAAAGGTTGTGTCCAGGGGCACTATTTATGCCTACGCTGGTGCATAGTAGACCATACTAACAGTACTTCATGGTGTTAAGAGGTTAAATTTATTTTTGATTTTGAGTACACCAACGTGGATTTATTTGCAAGCTTTTTTGTTTATGTTTCTATGACCGAATCAACATGTGATGTGATATGGCTTTATGGTTAATTTTTGTTCAAGTGTTTGCTGTCCAGTGTGCCCTAAAGACAAACAAACTATTTCATTAATGTGTTAGTGATGTCTGAAGTTGAGCTCTTCCTCGTACCATCTGAGTTGCATGTGCACCTTTTGAATTCCTGGCAAACAAATAGATAGCTCTAGCGGTACTGCAGTTTTTACAACTGAATGTTTAATGAGGAATTGCTTTGATGCTATCCAACACAGATTTTTGAAATATTCATGTTTTATAATAGTATCTTGCAACAAAATGGGCTCCACTTGTGTCCCACTTCCAAACTTCCCTAAGAAAATACACTGAAGGGGGTGGGGGTGGCTAAAGTAAGGCGTGTTAGGAAGTGCTACTTCCCCTGGGCCCTGGCTGCTGCTGTTTTGCTTTTTGACGGTACTAGTTCTCTCCGCAGCTGCAGCCTGCAGTGCTACAGCACCTCGGGGCAGCCGAACACACCTGTAATACTAAGCTTAAGAAAAAATAAGTTCATAATCCATCTGTTCCAAATTATAAGGCGTTCTAGATTTTTCTAGGTACATAGTTTTTGCTATGTACACTATGTCTAGATACATAGTAAAAACTATGTATCTAGACAAACCAGAGTGCTTTATAATTTGGAACGAAGGGAGTATTAAGAAAAAAGAAAATATTATCCTGAAACTCCTATTTCTCCTCTCTTGGCTACATATTTCTGGTCATGTGGGCGCCATGGGGGTGGGTTGTTCCTGTGGTAGTTTATGGGTGTTAGGTAAGGGTGTTTATGGAACTTTAGAAGAGTTGAAGGGGCTATAATGTCCTATGTTCATTGAACATTCAGTAAGTTGACTGACTAGAACTTTTTAACTTATGCTTACTTCACTTTTCCTTTGTCCTATCCTTGTTTTGATTGTTCTTCTACATTCAGCATCTCCCCTTGTAATCTGGCTAATCATCAATTTTATTTGATAATAACGTCTCCTGATACTTGCTAGCGTTATTGCCATACTGTTTTATTGATTGTTATTCCATTTTACGGCCTGTTTGGATCCATTAGCACTAACAATTAGCAGCTAAAGTTAGTACTAGTGGATCTAAACAGACCTGCTAATTATTAGCTAGGGGGCTGCTAACTATTAGTTCCATTAGCTAGTTTGGAGTTGCTAATAGGTGTTAATAGTTCATATGCACCTTCAACTCAATATCCAACCACCTATTAGCAGGTGGATCCAAACGGCCTCCTTACTAAAAATTAGCAGCTATTAGCTAGCTAACTTTTAGTGCTAATGGATCCAAGCAGGCACTTAACTAGTGCACCTGTAAGAGATACCTCAATAGTATCTTGGATTAATGCTATGTGATATCATCTCTTGATTGTTTTTATACTACTTAACTAAACTTTACCTTTCATTGTAAAACATTTATAATCTGTTGTAACCCATTATGGATGATATTGCACCAGTGTATACTGCTTTTGCTTCTTTGATTTCTCACTTGTAGCTTTTATTTACTTACCAGCAATTCATTCAAGCTTATGCACTTTAATCATATCAAGACTTCAGTCAAACTAATCATGTATGTTATTCTAAGAATGTGTCAGCTGAAATCTCTGATGAACATTAAAATGTGTAGCCTGATTGAGCTGTTAACAACTGAATACTCATTGGAAAAAAGGTTTTTTTACTGGCCATCTTATGCCGCTTAGGTTCCTAGTGTTTTCCTATAAAAGTTATCTAGGTCTTAGGATTGCGAAGTATTATCTGCTCTCTGTTTTCTGCATATTTCAGATTTTGGATACCAGATTAAGTTCAATTCATGCTGCATTTTTTTTTGTGTGATTTCATGGGAGTGCTCGGCTGCACTTTTTTACGGCTGCTGCTGCTCCAGCAGCTTACGTTTCCTGCAGCCGCAGCTGTAAAGAACTGCAGCCGAGTGGACCCAATTTTAAAGCTAAGAATATTATGACACCCTTTTTATATTATAATGGTTTTGCTAGAATGTTTTTTGTTTCACTTGTATTTATGCCATTAAGTGTTCTGCTTCTGATGGGTGCATATTTCAAAAGCTGCTCCTAGTTTCAAAAGCAGATATCATTTTTGCTGTGTCAAGTTCCAAATGTAGAATGATTATTACCGTGTCGAGTTCCAATACCAGATGATCGTATGCAACTCGGATTTTTTATTCCCAATAGTGAGGAACATTACGACTTCTTGATTTTGGAAAAGCAATGGGAGATGCCATACACTCCCCTTTCTCAGTAGTTTTAAGTCTTTAGTTATTCATAGTTCTTAGCATTAGCACAAATCAACATATTCCACTCCAATAAACAAAAGGATTTGTTAGATAAATGTCATATCAAGCTAGGCTTAGGACCTGAGCACATGTTATTAATATCTGAAACTTAATCAATTACCAATATCCTTGGTTAACCATAATCAATTACCAATTCTTGGTTAACCAAATCAATTACCAATATGGTTAACCATTATTAAACGTGCCTTTAGGAGTGCCAAATTTTTTATCTGTAGCTCAGTTACCTTTTGTTTCAACCTTGTCAAATTTTTTAGACAGGATAAGAACTGGAAATTGGCAAATTGTTACGCATGTTTGCTTTTTAATATATCTTCACATCGAGATCCAACCTATATGAGGAACTATGTCGTTTATTAAGAAGGCGAAATAGCCACCCAAATTCGAGTACTGGAGAATTCCCACACGGAGCAAGGCAATGCTTTGCAGATCTTACTTGTACTTCTATCCTTTTCTTCTGTTACAGTCTTTTATGTTGATAAGTAGTTTTTAAAAGTTCATAGCACAATTGCTTATTCTATGGTGGAACATCAATATCTGTATTTATTGCATTATTTTTGTTTGTATTTTCTGTTAGGTGCAAAATGGTAGTTTGTACCATATCCTTGCACATGTTCTCACTATCAAATCAACTGGATTTAAATTCCTCAATGTTATACTGTCATCTTTTTGCAGTTTGAGAGGCAAGGCAATGAGTTAAGACGTGTAATTGAAAATAACCAAAAGGGACCTCATCCTGTGGATAAGGATTTGCATGCTTCCAGACATAAGCATGTACATCAGAAACCGCGGAAACAGAATATGGGTCACCGTCACTCGGGCAATCAAAATTTGGATAAATCAGCAGACCAAAAGTGGCTAAATGAAGATGTGGAGGTCGAGGAGGGAGAATTGATTGAAGAGGACCATCATGATATCATTTCTAAAAGCAAGCTTAAGCCAAGAAATGCTGTACTGAAATCAGTTATTGAAACAAGTTCAGCAGAGCAGTTACAGGTGAATAATACAACGTCGAAAGATGCTGCCTGCAACAACAGAGCTACAAGAGAATGTGATGAGAAACACATTCTTGAGGTAATGGAGAAGATGCAAAAAAGGAGGGAAAGGTTCAAAGAGGCTATTGCACCAAAAAAAGAGGATGGTGACAAGGAAGACCTATCGGCTTTAGCATGCAGTACAGATTATATCCAGAATCAGCGGCCTGCTAGGAAACGGCGGTGGGGTGGTAATAGTTGGATGCTGGAAATGCCTTGAGAGTATGTCCGTGATGATTTCTTCAACAAGGTGTTCCGCTTATGGTGCTCAAAATCTCTGTTGTGTTTATTTCTGATGGCTGGGTTAGGGAAACAAAATATAGAAAGCATTCACTTGAGGTACTTTTATAGTATAGTATCTTGCATAGTTTATAAGAGTAAAAAAGGTTCAACTTCAAATGTAACGTGTTTGTGCTGGGGTGCTTTCAAACCACTGGGGAATGATTTACTATCCCCTAAGATAGGATTTAAATGGTTTCCTTTCTGCAGGCTGGCAAATGTTTCTGTGTGTTTTTGGATTCAAGAACTTATCTCTTCATACACTGAATGCCATCAACTACAGAGTTTTTTTATTATTCTGCAGCAATTGTGTTCATGGTACAATGTAGGTCGTATGCTGCTGGGGCTGCCTTTTTGCATTTTTGTCTGTCTGATTGTGTCTATATGCTTCGCCCCTGCACTGCTTCCATAGTTCCGTGTCTTTTTTATTTGATCAGCTCGCCTGTATGTCAACCTTGAAGACTGTTGCGAATGGGTATGTGGTCGAGTGGTAGGTCTGTCCATTGGGACACTATCCACTAGGGTTATCGCACCCTTTTCCTAGAATTTTTAGGGTATATGCATGCATGCGCGTTCGGTAGTACTGCGTGTTTCCTGCGCATTGGAGGCGGCAACGCTGCCTCCCAATCTCTTCTTTCGTGTGTGCGGACGTGCACGTGTGTGTGCGTGGGGAATAAGTGTAGAGTGTGGGTTGCATGCGTCCAAGTTGTACCCGATAAAAAAAAAACCTTGAAAACTGTTGGCTAGATTTAGGTTCCCCTTTGAACTGGATGATTTGTGGTCTTTCTATGCAGAGTACAAATGCTTCATTAGTGACTTTAACGTATTCTTGATTCCTATGGGATTTTAATTGCAGGGCATTTTAATCTTATTATGTTTTTTCTATCCTCCTGTCTTCAGAATCATGCGTTCTAAATAGGGACCAAATCAAACTTAAAAAAGTTTTAGTGTGGACAAAAGTAGAATTGCATTATGTACCCGATAAAAAAAAGTAGAATTGCGTTATTTTGTTTCGGACGAATGAATTCTTTTGTTTTGGACGAATGAACACTACGCTATGGAAAGAGTCGTGGTTATCCCGCTCGTTTTTTTAGTTGCTGGTTCGCAGTATGGTTTTATTGCTACGATATCTTCAGTCAGTCACATATACAAGTTGCGGTCTGCAGTTTCTCGATGCCCTATCCACTCTGTCTGAGGGCATTTGTCCTCGCCAGAAGGCGAACACGCGAGCAGCTCCATTGCCAAAGAGAACTTTAAGAAAATGCCATGTTCTTTCTTCTTCTCTTTTTAAGTTAAAAAAAACAGAGAACTTGAAGACAGCTGAGACGACACCATCGTGCCCTCTGCCCACGAGAGGAGTTGCCGCGTGTCAAGTCTGGAAGTTGGGACTTGTGTGAGGATAGAAAACCGCCTTCTGGAACAGAACGCCTCTCGTGCAGACAGAATAACAGAAATATCGACCGACGTTCCACGTACACGCTCCCGACTCCGACACACCGTCGACTGACAGTGGACTCGGTGCCTCGGTGGTGTATTCGAACGCCGAACCGACGTGGCGCGCTGACGACCTCCAACCGCGCCCCCATCCGGGCCTCCCGCTTCTGCCCCTCCAACCCCGGGTACGGCATCAACGGCACCGCATCCGCGAGGGCAGTCCCGTCAGTCCAGGCCCCTCGTCCTTCTCCTTCCCTCCCAAGGGCGCGCCTCGCTCCACCCTCCCCACTGGCGAATTTGCTACAGGCAAGCTCCACTCGAGCTCGGCCCGCATCCATGGCGATGCGGCTCCTGCCCCCCTCCACGCCGCCCCCACTCTTCCCGAGCCCCGGCCCGAAGGCACCCGCCTCCGTCTCCGCACCGTCTTTCTCGTACTTCTCTGTCCGCTTGCGCCGCGCGCGCGCGGCGTCTGCAGCGGCTGGCGCGGCCGCGGCGGGCGGGTCCGACCGGGACGGCGGACGCTTCGAGGGGGAGGCGATGAGCGGGGCATTCGACAGGGGCCTCGCGGAGATCGCGAGGAAGGTACCGCTCTTCGAGCCCGCAGCGGACGGGGAGCTCGCCGCCGCGGCCGGTGAGCGGCCGTTGCCTATCAATCTCGAGCTCTGGCTCTACCGCGTCAAAGTGCACACCAGGAAGTTCGAGTTCCCTGAAGCAGAGAAGCTTCTCGACAAGGTAGAGAATTATAGCATTACGCGTTAGGAGTTCATACACGAGCAGAATGTTTCTCTACCTAGCGCATCAAGGCAGCATGAAACTATTAAACGCGTGTTGTGTGCTCGAACTGAGTACTTTTGGGCAAGTTGTTGGGTTGCGAGCTGATGGATTTTATGCTCTGTTTCTGAAATCTGAACAGTGTATCTCATTCTGGCCTGAAGACGGACGTCCGTATGTGGCACTGGGGAAGCTGTACAGCAAGCAGTCAAGGTATGACAAAGCTAGAGCGGTGTACGAAAGGGGATGCCAAGCAACGCAAGGCGAAAACCCATACATTTGGCAGGTTTGCACATGATCAGTTCATATGCTCCATTTTATAAAGTACCTATATGCAAGATGTTTTTTTCTCACACAAGTACGAGAGGCAAAAGTCCATTGATGTTAGTCTACTTTACCTCCATTGGCCGGATTCGTGGCTCCGCATCAAGAGCATGCGTACGAGTATTCGTTGGAACTCTGCCAGCCGGCCGAATAAAAATGATTAATCCAATTGAGTTGTGAAATCATCGAAGCATCAACTGCAAGTTCATGGATATGATGTGCAGTAGGAGAGCTCGAAGTTGGATCTATGGCTGTCAATCGAAGTTGGGGAACCCAGAAGAAGATGGGATGGAGAAAACCCACCATATGGCAACCGTAGACTTTTCACAGCTTCTCATTTGACAAAAGCTAGCTTATCATAAAAGCTTCCTTATCAAATAAGCCCATCAAAGATAAGTAGTTTCAAACAGGGCCTATATAATTGATGTTAGTCTACTTTACCCCCTAACCTACAAAGCCAGGTATCCTACCTCTTACCTATCCAAAATCGTTTAATCTAACCCATAGGTGGTTTCAAGTGCTCATTTTGCCTCGCTGGCATGACTAGAGCCCGCAGTCAATGTTTCGAGTGGTCGTTTTGCCTCGCTGGCACGACTAGAGCCCACATGACAGCGACCATTGTTGCATGGGCCCACTTGTTAGCGTCTCCTTCAACCTCCGGCCTTTGTGCACCCTGAGGTTATCCAAGGGCGTGTTGTCACCGCCGTTGCCTAGGGCTAATCATAATGTGCTTTACCATCGTCACCTACTGCCTCCGAGCCGAACCGTGCCATGTCACTGCATCCACACATGACCATTGCCACACAACGAGTACTGATGAGTCCACGAAGGACCAAGTGCCTCTGACCATTAGCAGGCGTCGGTCATGTACATTACTGTCTTGGTCGTTTTACATGTATACCCTCGTGGAATAGTGTAATAATTAGGGGTTTCATGTCTCTTGGTGTTTTTACGAATAACCTCCTAAAACCCTTAGACTTTTTCCTACAGGAGCGTGGCGTATCATTATATTAAGAAGAAGAAATGCGGTCTAGAACCCCCACACAAAACACACACCCAAAAACAAGAAACAAGAAGGATAAACACATGCATCTGGTATTACAAAAGAAACAAGATCTGAACCACTAACTAAACTTTTTGGGGCGGAAGGGAGAGGAGATAAGAAACACCTTGCACCCTGGCTAGGCTCCAAAGCCTCATCTCCTCCATAGCAAGCTATACAACACCATCTAGGTAGGGAGAAGCACCATCGAAGGCACAATGGTTGCAATGAGTCCCCCACACCCCTAAAATGATGAGTGAATTTAAACTTTTACAAACCTGGCCATCGACTCTGTCATTGATTTGAGTCCACATTCCTCAAAGGATGTAGACCATGAGGATGTTAACACCTTATGCCGGGTTTGGGAAACTCTGCAACTATTTGTTAAATTTGAAGGGGCGTGAGTTAGCATTATCCTAATTGTATGATGATGTTGTTTTGCATTTGATTCAACAACTGGCAGTTTGGGCATTTGGGCATTTGGGCGTCAGTTCAGTAATTGTATTCCTTGCATGCCAGCTGCTTGTCTGCTTTTCTTCCAAATAGATGGAGAGCATAGCCTGTTACATGATACATCGCACACGCTATTTTGTTTGTAGAAACAACGGTGGGTCTCCCAGTTGTAGCTATCCTGCAAAGTTTTCAAGATTAAAAGGGACTGAAACCTCATATCAGGATCGTTTTGTTAACTTATACTGACACATCCGAAAACATAATCACTTGGACCATCTAAAGAAATCATTTGATCCTTATGACTGAATTATATACAACATGCTGAAATCACTATCCAGATTGGTGAGGTCAGGGCAATCTGTGCCTTTACAACCATAACTATTTCTGTTCCATGCACGATGCATCTATAATTCACTCATTTAAGGATAAATCCAACAAAGCATGTGACCGTATATGAATTTGTTGTTTTCTTTGCTAAGCAGTGTTGGGCAGTCCTAGAAAGCAAGAGTGGAAATATTCGAAGGGCACGCGAGCTATTTGATGCTTCTACTGTGGCTGATGCAAAGCACATTGCTGCTTGGCACGGGTGGGCAATTTTAGAAATAAAGCAAGGAAATATAAAAAAGGCGCGGAACCTACTTGGGAAAGCCCTGAAATATTGTGGAGGAAATGAGTATATTTACCAAACTCTTGCTTTGCTTGAAGCTAAAGCAGAGCGCTTTGAACAAGCACGGACTTTGTTCGAGCAAGCCACTCAATCCAATCCTAAAAGTTGTGCAAGCTGGCTAGTAAGTATTTGCTTCATAATTATTCATTTTCTCTGCACGAAAGGAAACTGCATAGTTGCCTTTTCTATTAAACTGTGCATTTATATATGACAACTTTCTAGTAGGCTTGGGCTCAGGTAGAAATGCGTGCAGGAAACAATACCATGGCCAGAAAGCTCTTTGAGGTAATAAATCGTGTTCCCTTTCTAGGTTAACTATTGCCGTCATTAATGATTTTGTAAATTCCAAAATATATCTGAGCGTCTCCTCATGTTCATGAGTCAGTTAAAGTGCAAAATAGAAATGGTATTACTATGGGCTCAGTCTTTCTTTGTCTAAATTTTTCATAGAAGATCTGTCTAGTCTCTACCAGTATGAATATAGAGCTTGATATTCGTTTGTTCAAGTTATATTGCACTGTTGTTTTGACATTCTATATTAACATGTGAATGTGATGGTTTGTCACATATATGACATCCCTCTAAAATTTTCCAATGTGTGGTGCGTAACTTCAATTTTTCTAGTGCAGAAGGCTGTCCAGGCTAGTCCTAAAAACCGTTTCTCATGGCATGTTTGGGCACTATTTGAGACAAATGAAGGTAGTATTGACAGGGCAAGGAAGTTGCTTAAGATTGGACATGCTGTAAATCCTAGGGACCCTGTAATTCTCCAGTCACTTGCACTGCTGGAATACAACTTTTTATCTGCGAATATTGCTCGTGTGTTATTCAGAAAAGCATCTCAGATTGATCCAAGGCATCAGCCAGTTTGGATAGTAAGAACTTTCTGCATTTACCTCCCTTATCTGACTACAAATTCCATGTAGTTTCCTTCACAAAAAATTGTTTGAGATTTTTTTTTCTTTATTCCCTACAGGATGTTCTGCATGGATATACAACTACTTTAGTATGATGTTGTTTTTTGCACTTCTTACCACTAGAGGATAGAGGTTTCTTTTTGGGAGAAACTTGTGGTTGTTTACCTTCCCAGTGCAAATGAGTGCATATATACAATCCAATGATTCGGGGAGTGATTAGGTCCAGTGAATGGCGAATTCAAAATATTTTTGTTTTTTGTTGTTGAAACTTTGGATTTATATTGAAGGGCGGACCTGGTGCAAGCGGTAGAGTCTTACCGCCTGTGACCGGAAGGTCCCGGGTTCGAGTCGCGGTCTCCTCGCATTGCACAGGCGAGGGTAAGACTTGCCACTGACACCCTTCCCCAGACCCCGCACAGAGCGGGAGCTCTCTGCACTAGGTACGCCCTTTAAACTTTGGATTTATATTCATGTAAGATCCCCAGCAATAAACTGTGAGAGTAAATTTCTTTCAGTAGAAAGCCTTAGATCGTCAACTAACTGCACCTGATATGCACAAGTAAAAACTTTAAGTTTTCTAAAAATGTTAGAAACAGTTTTCTATAATTTCAAGTACATATGCATTGTCATATTTGTGTCTAATTGTATATGCACTGCTGCTGATTTATGTTAGTCTCTGAAACTCAGCAATGACCCGTAGATTATATTGTAGGCTTGGGGGTGGATGGAATGGAAAGAAGGAAATGCAAGAACAGCAAGGGCCCTCTATCAAAGAGCTTTGTCAGTTAATTCAACAAATGAATGTGCTGCTCGTTGTCTTCAGGTAAAGCATATCATTCAGTTAGCCTGGGAGTTGTCAAACTGTCAGAAATGACTTATCTTTAATGTCATTGTATATTCACAAGACCATTTGAGTGCTTGATGAACTACTGTATCATGGTTGTCAAATATGAATGCTTGCATTACTGAAGAATCTAGTTTGCCAGAACTGTATACAAGTAACCGGAATTAAATTTATTTTACTGTGATCTAGTATATGGGTCTAAAATTACCAAGCTTCGGTGCTGATTTAAGTACTGTTTAGGCTAGTGTTCCATTTTCTATTCCATAAATAGTTGTCGGGCTGCCGTGCTTTTGTAGGCTTGGGGAGTCCTAGAACAGCGTGCTGGTAACTACACGGCTGCCAGAAGATTGTTGAGGTCTTCTCTGAGTATAAACTCTCAAAGTGAGGTGACATGGATGACATGGGCAGCGCTTGAGGAGGAACAGGGGGATCCAGTTCGAGCTGAAGAAATTCGGAACCTTTACTTTCAGCAGGTTAGTTCAGGTTGCCTGCAGAGCTACATCTTTATCTGTTCATGCGGTGTGTGTCTGTAGTTCGGAGCATGAACTATAATTGTTAGTGTTCAGCTTATCTTTGTGCGATATCCTTGACAATGCCATGGACTGTTTCCCATGCTGGCAGCGTACTGAAGTTGTGGATGATGCCTCATGGGTCATGGGCTTCCTTGATATCATCGACCCTGCCCTAGACAGCGTGAAGAAGCTGCTAAACCTAGATCAGCCTTCTGGGCCGACGAGGCAAGATGATGTTAAAAGCACTGCCAGGAGTTCTGCAGCTGGGGAGTCTTCAGAAACTTCTGCGGCTGTAGGTTCAGATTCCTCTGGCCTTAAGAGCCATGATGCTGGTAACAACGGGAGCGAAGCAACGGGGACTACAAGTGATTTCGATTTGGATGGTTTCATCAAAAAGAGGCTGGCCCTCGACCCGGCGGAGCTGGATGCCGTGCTCGAGGGCTCTGACCCGAGGGGTGTTGTTTCTCAGAGGAGGAAACAGCGGCTGCCCAGGAAGCCACTCCCTCGTCTCCCTGCCCCGTAAATTTTCCAGACCGGTTTGTCTCCACCGGTAAAATCCACTGACAGTAGCAGGTATCGTGAATTGTAAAAACCCCTGCCGCTGCCATAGCAATCACCTGTTAATTGTCATTCCAGCCACGTGTATGTAATTCTGCCACCATTTGTAGTAAGTCTAGCTCTGTACATAAATTAGACTCTCTTTATCTACATAATTTCCCCGAGTTATCAAGAAATATTCTGACAAATGCCAATGCCATTACTTCAACACCTAATACTAATGCTAGAAATGCCAGCATAGCACAAGCTAAGAAATCTCAAGAGGGAAAAGAGAGATACTAACCCTTTTTATTTGGATATCTATTTCTGTTTATGGCAGTCCTTAAGAGGAAGGCAAGCAAGAGCCCTTTGATGAGCTCCACACCATTTTACAATCTTGGTCTGGACTCATCTTAATTGGAGCCTTTGGAGGAGACATCAACTTAGTAAGGTCCCATAAGGACAAGGAAAATGGAGCCATGAATTTACACTGGGCCCGTGTTTAGTTCCAACCTAAATTCCTAAAAAGTGCTGCAGTAACCATCACATCGAATGTTTGCGATACATGCATAAAGCATTAAATATAGACGAAAAAAAACTAATTGCACAGTTTGGTTGGAAATCATGAGACGAACGTTTTGAGCCTAATTAGTCCATGTTTGAACACTAATTGCTAAATAAAAACGAAAGTGCTATAGTAGCCCAAAATCCAAAATTCTGCTTTTAATGATTGGACTGATAGTTGGGGCTACGGACACTCAACCTAGAAACTAGGATGGTTTAATTAGGGTGCTAACTAATCAAAATGGTGTCTACTAAAAAAACTAATCAAAATGGTGATGTGACATTAGAATTAAAGAAGAGAGGAAATTATTAACTATATGTCTATACAAAAAACAAGATATAAAAAGATGTGATAAGTAGATAATGGAGAGAAAAGATATGTACAACAACAACATAGCATTTCAGTTCCAAGCAAGTTGGGTAGGCTAGAGTTGAAACCCACCAAGAGCCCTAAGTCACGGTTCAGGCACTTCAATAGCTGTTTTTCAAGTACTCCTATTCAAACATAAATCTCTAGGTATACCTTAAGCTTTCAAATCTTTTTTTATTGCCTCCCCCATGTCAATTTTGGTATTTCTCTACCTCTCATATTATTAGCTTGGCTTAGAACTCCACAATGCACTGGTGCCTCTGGAGGTATTCTTTGGACATGGTCAAACCACCTTAACCGATTTTAGACAAACTTTTATTCAATTGATGCTACCACTAGGCGATCGCGTATATCATCGTTCCGAACTCGGTCCATTCTTGTGTAACCACAAATCCATCGCAACATACGTATTTTTGCAACACTCAGTTGTTGAACATGTCGAATCTTTGTAGGCCAACATTCTGCTCCATACAATATAGTTGGTCTAATCGCCGTTCTATAAAACCTGCCTTTTAGCTTTTGTGGTACCCTCTTGTCACAGAGAATGCTAAAAGCTTGTCTCCACTTGATCCACCATGCTTTGATTCTATGGCTAACGTCCGCATCAATATCTCTACCCCTCTGTAGCATCGATCCCAGATACCGAAAGGTACCCTTCTTAGGCACTACTTGACCTTCCAAACTCACATCTCCCTCCTCCTGTGCAGCTCCGCCAAAGTCGCATCTCATGTATTTGGTTTTAGTTCTGCTCAATCTAAAACCTTTAGACTCAAGGGTTTGCCGCCATAACTCTAGTTTTCTATTTACTCCCGCTTGGCTTTCATCCACTAACACTACATCATCAGCGAACAACATACACTAAGGGATATCCCCTTGCATGTTCCTGGTAACCTCATCCATTACCAAGGCAATCAGATACGGGCTTAAGGCTGATCTTTGATGAAGTCTAATTTTAATCGGGAAGTAATCTGTGTTACCATCGTTTGTTCGAACACTAGTCAAAACATTGTTGTACATGTCCTTGATGAGGGTCACGTACTTTGATGGTACTTTATGTTTGTCCAAAGACCACCACATAACATTTCTTGGTATCTTGTCATAAGCCTTCTTCAAGTCAATGAAAACCAAGTGGAGGTCCTTCTTCTGCTCTCTAAATCGCTCCATAACCTGTCTTATTAAGAAGATTGCTTCTGTGGTTGACCTTTCGGGCATGAAACCAAATTGGTTTATTGATATCTGTGTTGTTCCTCGCAGGCGCTGCTCGATGACTCTCTCCCATAACTTCATAGTGTGGCTCATCAACTTAATTCCTCGATAATTAGTACAACTTTGGATATCTCTCTTGTTCTTATAGATTGGTACTAATATGCTTCTTCTCCACTCCTCAGGCATCTTGTTTGATGAAAGATATTGTTTAACATCTTGGTTAGCCATACTATAGCTATATCCCCGAGATATCAACACACCATGATTGGGATACCATCAGGGCCCATCGCTTTGCCCCCTTTCATCATTTTTAAGGCTTCTTTGACCTTTGATTCTTGAATCCTCCGCACAAAGCGCCTGTTAGTGTCATCAAACGAGTCATCCAGCTGAACGGTGGTGTTCTCGTTCTCACCATTGAATAATTTATCAAAATACTCTTGCCATCTATGTCTGATCTCATCCTCCTTCACCAAGAGCTGCTCCCTCTCATCCTTTATGCACTTGACTTGGTTGACGTCCCTTGTCTTCCTATCGCGAGAGCCATCCTATAAATGTCATTCTCTTCTGTGGAAGAACCGCCCAAAATAACACACATTCGGAGGCGTTCGTCTTCCACCAGACACTAAGCACCCCAAGAGCGAGATACTTCGAGCGGTTCCATCGAGCACACCCCAAAAGAGAACTCGAATAATCCATGTTTTTCCTCCATGATCCAATAGTGAGAACGAGTTTACAATACTTAGTCCATTTCATACAACCGGAGTTCTTAGAAATACATTATTACAGTACTAAGTTTAGAGTGTGGAATTTAAACAGCGGAATTACAATAAACATCTAACGGTAGAATACAAGGATCCGTCTGTGCCCACTAGAAGAATCCTCCACACAAATGCTACTCTTCAAGCTACACCTGCAACAGGGGTAAATAAACCCTGAGTACACAATGTACTCGCAAGACTTACCCGACTAGTGGTAATAATTTCCCGACTCTAAAGGATATGATAAGCTTTATGGGTTGCTGGGTTTTCTTTTGTGGAAAGCAATACCAGTAGTGGATCCTTATGTATGGTTCTTATTAGTAGTCAAGATTAGTTCATTAGCTAACCATTCTAGGTAAGCACCTGTTCTACTTTCAAGCAAGGGTTGAGCAAACAGATCCATTTCACCATCTTTCATCTTCCAGTTCTTACTACGGTGCTAGACTGTAGACAAGCCGTACCGGATTGCCCGGCGATTCATGAATCAATGTGCCCAGCTAGGTACCCTGAAACACACGCCCCGCTTGTACTCCAGGCACAAGTAGGACCAATCCACCACTCTCCTGTCAAGGGGTCCAGGTTCCCATCCAAACTTAGACTCCAAACCCCCGCACATGAGTCTCGGACTCAGTGCGGTGCTTAGACCTCCACCATCCCCGCCTCTAATCAGTCGGTCCAGAAAGAGCCAAAACCCATGATAAGAGAGCAACGAGCCTTTGCTGCTCCCATAAACAAGTATGTGCTCAGGATAATAAGTTTGTGACTTGCCTAGAACCCAATGCAACGATCGGTCATTAACCGACACGGACAGGGAAAACAGCGTAACCAAGCTATGCCCCGTTGGCCACGGGACACAACCTCTTACACCCACCAATACTCGTACCATATCCCTGCCTGGTCTCCATTTTTCCTTTCACCATTTTATCATGAGTGATAATAATAATTACCTATTGTGAGTAACGGCAGGTTACTCACGCTACCGAAAATCCTAAGCATAGCAGCTACTCGCACCTGTACTAGTAGGACTTATAGGACATATATATTTATGCAGATGGTTTCCATAAAATGCCTATAACATAAATGCACATATATATATATATATTCAGTGCTTATTCAAAATAAGGGTTATGCATTGGGACTTGCCTTGGGCAGGCGGGGTGTCGGCAAAGTCAGCAGCTGGTGGCTCCAGGGCTCTCTCCTAGACGAGGATCTCCTCCTCTTACTCCTCGATTATATCCTCGTACTCCGACTCGCCCACGGTCACAAACTCTACCAACTCGTTATCTACATGCATGAAATGATGATGCAACACTTAGTAATACGGCAACAGCAACTCTTAAAATAAGAATACATCTATCAAGCTACTAAGCTAGCTCTATTGACTAAGACGCTAAGTTACCTATTATTCCCACTAAACAGGTATGAAACATTTCACGTATTATCTTAGCAACTAAAGGTATCCTTATTCTTATTACCAATTCAATATATATACTAAAACAAGGAGTACTAAGCTACCCCATTTCTCAACCTATTTTAAGGCTACAAAAATTACAGTGAGTACATAATAATACAATGAACCTACTGTAAAAATTTCATGGTCAAAGTTATTACCAATTTGCCACAAAAATTCCTACAAATGTTAATCTAAATAATGCTAAGCTTTCCTAAATGAATTAATGAACCTAACATTCTCATAGATAACTGTAAACTAACTACACTAACAGATAGATCATATTTTTGTGAACCTAACAAATTGTGTTTCACTATTTTTGGATACCTACAGAATTTACTATAATTTTCCAAAGATCAGCTTAAAACTAATTTAGAAAAACCTTTGCTAATTCGCTGGAAAAAAGAAGACCGATTCTCGCGCGGCCCATCCGCGCGGCCCACACGAGCACAACGCGCGCGCGCGCGTGACCCGTAGGCACGACCCACGCGGGACGCGGCCCATCTACGCGGAAACGGCCCACGACGAGGAGGCCCGTGTGCTCCGGCATCTTCGCAAAAACACCCTTGAGCAACCGATGATTCACCCCGAGGTCCATAACACTATTCATACAGACTGCTCCTATACAAATAAGCCCC